AACAATCAAATCTTTGATATAATTATAAGAAAATTAAAGATTTTCATTTCTTACAAAAATTTCATTACGATAAAATATAAGATTTATGTTTATTTAAATAATTAGAAAGAATACTATGTCTAAATTTATGATATAAACTTGAAGATTCTTCTTTCATATTCAATATGATTAATATATGGAATGTTTACGTTTTTTCACACATTGAACGCAACTCTATTAGCACGTTTGCTTGCGCATCAATGATGATATGTGCCCGGAAGACCAAGTAACATACCAATACGATCATTTTCTTTGAGCGGAAAGAATAGACATCCGACCTAATCTTTTGATGGGTAAACTATGATAACGATGATGAGAAACTAATAAGTGTGTCGAGCGAGTTTCTTTTTCCTTAACAGGTATAAATGATAAGAATGATGATGAGAAAATATGTGAAGAAAAATGATCAATAACAAAGAAAAAAAAAACATATTATCGAACTAGTAGGATATGTCAAATTTATGCTTGACTATATATACGTTTTTATAAAGAAATATTTCGTTTCATGTCGATCAATATGAAACGTATCTATCGATATTATTGTTTAATTTATTAATAAAATAAAAAAAAGAACAAAAAAAGATAAAACAAATCAATAGAACATTTCGCAAACACTCATTTTTAACATATTGACTAAAGGTATGGTTAACAGAGAATACTTGAGTTTTTAAAAAGAAGTATCGTTAATCTATCCGATTTTGAATAAATTTGTGTAACCTTAGGTAACATATAAGTTCATAATACTTTAAAGTAAAAAAGTAATCTATTTTATGTAGTTTAACAAGAACATCAATCAGGATCAAGAATTATGAATTGTGGTATAAGAACAAAAGATTTATCGAGGATTCTTGAATGACCGTGATCTTATTCTTTTAATTAGGAAAAGTATATTATAGAATGAGAAGCCTTGACATCAACGGTAATTGCTTTCTATCATGCTTGTCATACAGTCGTGTCAATTTAAAAACAGGAATTTTTAAGAAAAAAATATGAATTTTGATCGGCTTGTACTAATTGATAGTTTCAACAATGTATTCTTCATTTATTAATTAAAGTACTTTTTTGATATTCTGTTTCATTAAACAGAAAAACAATTCTGCCGCTTATCTATTGGAAGATTTTTGAAATTGAATATTTTATTATCTCTTTGTATCATTTATAAACGAGTATATTGATTATTTTATACTTGCAATATCGAATAATTTACTTAGTAGATGAAAAAGTTAAAGTGAAGTGATAAAATAACTGTTGCACGACGCTCGGCAACATTAGAAATGCACACAGTGAGAACAATTAAAGTACATTTATCTTACGAGAAAACATCGTCAAGTGATAAATTGCTTTTCAGATAAGTCTTACCAAACTAAATATGTTCCATTGAGAGTTAAGAAAACCTAAAATGATTCATGCTCATGAATCTTTTTTCATGAATCATAGCCATGTTAGTGAGCTTTTATGGAACTTACATATATTTTCGACAAAAATAATGAGTGCAAGTTTAAATCAAGGTTTTTACAGCTCCTTCTCCCCAGGTTATAGTAAACGGAAGTGGGAGGAGAAAAATCAAAGATTATTGGGCACGTTTTCTTAGCAATGAGGAAAGGCGTATCAGTAATAAGAATGCTTATATTATTCTGGATTCTTCTAGAATTTCTCAATACATCGTATCATTCTAAGATTTTTACTGTGGATTCTATCTAGTTTAAACATTGTGGGTTTCGATATTTCATGCAAGGAAAGAATCTTATTGCAAGTATTAATCAGAAGAGCAGTGGTATTATTGATCTGTTAGAGATGGAATAGGATGCATATATAGCCAATGATGAACTTATTGCATTTTAAGTTTAGACATAACTCAACAATATATGTCAAAATTTATCAAGAGAAAAGATAGTATGCTCAGAAGCTTACTGAATGATTAAATAGATGTGTATATAGGAGGCTAATTTGGTGGTTGAACTGATGAAATGAAAAATCAAATGACAGCTGCCTTTTCCTATGGCATGTATCATATATACTATCATTAGAAGAAGAGATTTAATCTATGAAAGATGCATATGACAATAATTTTGGGTTATTAATTTAGTTGACTTTTTTTTCTAATAAATTATTGTAATCTATCTGACAATATATCATAAATTTGTGACAGTCAGAGTCTGTGAGTTCCACACTTGGATCCTTCGCGAGATCACATTGACCAGTTTTCAACAAAGTTAGGTGTTTTTTCTGAGATTATTATTCAATTCAACTTTTGAGTTATAAACTTAGCATAAACTTTTGAGATGCTGAAAAACTGGAGATTCGGTTTTTTAGAAACCACATCCTTTTGAATCTATTATAATTTCTTTTTCTTATATTCTTGTTGTATATATTTGTTTTTACTGAAATCATTGTTTGGATTCTTTTTCACTGTCTTAATGATGAATAAAAGATGGAAAATAAATCTTGTTAAATAATTCTGATAGCCACTCTAAATAATTATTAGAACAAAGTTTTGTTGTTTTCTATAACAGATATATATATATAATATTGGTACCTGAATATAGATAATGATAGGAAATCTGACACTTTCACAATAAATTAGTCTCATTGAGAAATTTATTTTTGTAAATTTTAGACTCGAAAATCAACTGTAAAGATGTCCTGACAACGACCAAAAAGTTATGATCAAAAAGTAATTAACTCAAATGGATATAACTTAAGTGGAAAAATTCATCTACATGGATCAATTTAGAATTTTCCTAGTGTCGACAGGACATACCTAATGAGATACGACATCAACGGATAGGTCAAGAAAAAAAAGAAATTTGCAAAGAATCAAAACAAGAATATTGACTTGTAATAGCTTTATTCCTGCCATAACGGATAAAGATTTATCTCTATTTTTGTCCTTTTTCGATTCATTCTTATGATTCTTCACTAATTGATGATGTTATATCTTGATGTTGTGTTATATTTCCTTCTCTTTTCTCCTCATTTCTTTATATTATTTTATTTACAAAAAAAAAAAAAAATATGTATATATATGATATACGTATTAGATTCTCCTTCCTTATGGCAATCCTTGTTCTCTATTTATGGTTTGTGTTTCTATTTTTTTTAATGATGACAAGTATAAAAAGAATTTAAACACGAGCCTTCGGACATTAGGATTCTTAAATAGAGAAGTATATTTATCATCATCATCAGAATTCGTTTAAACTACGTAGCTACGAAGAAAAACAACTCTGTTCTTCTAGAATATTTATTTATTCTAGTTCTCATTTCAAACAAATATCGACCTTTAATAATCGATATTGAAATTTACATATCAAGGTATACTTCACATTCAATTGTAGGTCAATATGAATAGCGAGAAATCTTTAAAGAAACATTTCCATATTCATCTTCGTATTAACAACGTAAAACGTTTTCTCAAATTCTATTGAGTTTCCAATAAGAGTCCTGATATAATAAAGCATTACATTCGTTCAATTAGACAAGATACTTTAGTGAATCAACTACTGATTTGTCAAATATAATTCTCAGAAAAAAAACGAACGATATTAATTAGAATGATTTGAGATTATTCAAATTCCAACATCAAATACTATTTCGTCTTATCTATTATTCTTTCTTCTGATTAGAATACTGAATATATAGAATGTTTTTTCTTAAACCAATATAGTTTTTGTCTGCAAATTAAACCTTTTGTTAATCCAAAATTCTACCTTAAGTTCGATTTTCCTCTAGTGATACTATGAACAAGAATATTGTTTCATTTGTCTAATAAGCAATGCGACATTTAAATAAATAGTATATTCTTCTTATCATCCACAATCAATATTGAAATGCATGAAGTTCTGAAATATCAAGCATAATTCAATTCAATGTCAAACTACGATTTTCGATACATAATTCTCATAGTTATCGTTACATGGATATGTATTACTGACGACAAAAGAAATATTTCTGTGTAAAAATAAAAATCGATCAAAGTATATCGTAAGCCAAAATATTGATCCATTGTGTACATAAGTAACAGATATATTCACTCTAGGAATACATTAATGTGCAAAAAGGTTTCCATTGAAATGTTAAGATGCTGAGTTACATATAGAATTATCTGAAAACATTCTCATCCAGTTACTTAACCGAAGAGATATTTGTATAAAAATGATAACAGCAATTTAAAATACTGAAATAATAAATTAGTTTATTTCTTAATAATAGTTTGAGAATTCAGTTCGTAACAATTGACCAGTTGTTACAACCATTCTCAGTTTCAATCGATAATACACTTGACATGTGTACATGAGGATAAGATGCACATTCACACCGACATCCATATTAGTCCAGCTACATTTTTTGTGGAACTCTTTGTCTTTTGGTTCCTTCTAGATGCAAAATCTAAATGGTTTCGACAGGAACAGATCCTGACAGTTCCAGTATTATTTAATTAGGGATCAAAGAAAAAGATCTAGTTCGATCAGATTTGTGAGCAAAGCAATAGTTTCCGAGACGTTCTCATGTCAGCAATTGTCTTCTTCAATAGGATTCATAGGCAGAATTTAAGAAACTGAATATCATTCAACTTCATTGGATAGTATATTCACTTGCAGTATAAACAATATATTCTTAGATGATTATTCTCGAAAATAGAAAATTCTTTTTTTTCCCAATCTGCTATCTTCATTATTTTTGCTCCACTTTTGGCAACCTTCCTATCCGTCGATTATCGATGACCATCTCAATATTGGCGAACTGAGATATTTAGCTCAGAAAATTCTCATAGTTTTTTTCAGTTATTTTTTTGAAAACAGTACAAATTGCTTGCCATTTAGTCGTATAGCGAAAAAAAGAATAGAAAGATGAACGTCTTTGTTTGATAAATAGCATTCCACTTTGACGAATAACTGTGGACGATACATATCAAAAAGACTCATCATAAGTTCATGTTTTGTAAAGAAAAATGAATCATCTTATTTGAGTTGGGATGAAATACGCTGAATATCTTGTTCAAGTTGCATAAAAGTTGAATGTGTCGGTGTAAGAGTATGACGATATATGTCAGCTGCCTGTTGATAATACGATAGAGTTTGCTGTAAGTCATTTTTCTTCTCGTAAACGTAGCCTATTTTGTGAAGGGTCGATGCCATATTTCGATTTTGTGGTAATTCTGATGCCTTCAATGTTTTTAATGATAGGTCATAATGTGATAAAGCCAAATCGTAAAGACCGAGCTCAGTATGGCAATCAGCCATATTATTGAGCAATTGACTGATTTGAGTATGCTGCATTGATGATTGTTTCTGTTGAATAACTAATGCTTTTAAATAATAATCTAGAGCTTCAAACCATTGTTTAATAGCCTGGTAGACTGTACCCACATTTGTATAATACTCGGCTATGCACACATGTTCTTTACCGAATACTTCTTTTGCCATTGTTAACGCTTTGTTGTAATATTCAAGTGCCTGTTTATAATCATTTTTCTGTCGATAAATACCTGCAATTGTCGTATAATTAGCTGCTAAACGAGGATCGTGGAATTGTGGATTTCGAGTAGCATACTCGAGCGATTTTCTATACCATTTTATACTTGTTTCTAAATCGTTTTTTTCACGCGCAAGACTTCCAAGAATATCATAGCATACAGCAAGATCATACTCATTGGCAGGTAATTCAACAGATAAACGAAGACAATACTTTTCTGCTTCATCAAATTTACCCAATCGTCGTAGAATATTAATAAATGAAAATAGATTTATTTCTTCCTTTTGATCCTTTTTGATATAATCAAAAGTTGGTTTCAAATTTTGATCGTCTTCATTAGATAATTTCATTCGAATAACCCATACTTGATTGTCATCACAACGAATATCAATCAACTGAAAAATGGATCCGGCCATAAAGAGAACTTCTTCATTAGCATTGTAACTATGTGCTGTAATATTAGCAAATGATTTACTAGTAGCCGATTGAGGATTAGCTTCAATTTCGAATAAAGTGTGTTGTAGTTCATTTACTGGAATGAGAGTTTTGACGAAATTAATAGCTTGGTCACGATTTAGTATAGTAGAAAGAAAAGAAGTCATAGCAATGAATTTACCAATCGAATCTTTGAATATTTGTAATTCTTCAATGGACATCAATTGACTTCGATAGACATGCATAACGGATGTACATTGATAATTTTGAAGTTGTCGATCGATATCATGAATAAAAAATCGAAAGAGTAAAAGTAAATCAGTATTTTGTACTCGAAGAGCTTTGTTCAATAAACGTGGAAGAAACGAATCTCGAGTATACCACCATAGTGCACGGCTCGCTTGATAGTCTCGTTGAAATTCATGAACTATGGCTAATTCAGGATCGTTTTTGAGATATGCTTTCTTACATAAAGAAATAAGATCAGTCTTATCTTTGGCTGTTGGCTTCATGCGAAGGAAAAAATCAATCAATAATTGTGAATAAATGAATTGAGTATTGGTACCCGTTGTCCATTGTCTGTTATCTATATTGGGATCAAAAATACTGATAGAAAGTGGTTCGTCCACTTTGTTACGAATTCGTGTTATTTGATCTTGTCGAATTTTCGCCACAAGATCGTCTAATTCTACAATAACGCCTCTGACCTAAAAAGAAACTCGACGATAATGAGTTATATAGTACTATCAAAAACTGAATCTGAATTCTGATAATCAATTATTGAAAAACTTTGAAACATACTCAAAGGGTGTGAATATGGGTGTAAGGATCTTCTGTTCATACCCATACACAGTCGGACTGCATACATACGGTCACAATATACTCTATCACCATAGATCCACAACAATATCCTTTCTTTTTCTTAATGTTTGAGTTCCACACTTTGTCAAAGTTCAAAACTCATGCATTTCGATCACGATTAAATAAAAGACTTACTTACTTTTGTAAAATCTTTTGACCATTCTTCATGGTAGTCCTTATCCATGCAGTAGATGTAGATGGATGAAATTTGTCGAAGTTGATGAATACGGGGCATCAATTCTTGACCCAATCGACCAGTGACAACAAAAACTATTCGATCACTTTTGGATACATTTTGAATATATTGTTCACATTTTTCTGCATCTTTAAATTTTCTTAAATGATTGATTGATGTACGAAGAAATTGTCGACCTTTTTCATCTTCGACAGTATCATCGGCTGCTGGATCAAGCCAAACAAGATGAAATGTTTCAAGATTATCATCTTTTGGCTCCGGAGATCCAAAAATATTTCCCATCGTTGATATTTTTCGTCAATTATACAGACAAACTATCACAGGGAAAAAAGAACAACTGATTGTGATAAAATTTAAAAGCAAAAGAATGTTTTTTTTGGTTTCTTTCTTTCTTTCTTTTCATTTAACAAGTGTTGATATAAAGAGAGATATGGTAGAAGAAAACCAAAAGAATAGAGCCACATATTCATAAGTGCCCTTATCAGGATATTTCAAGAGCGTTTACACTCAGTGGGAAAGAATAGTTCGTCATGATCGTTATTTCACCTGCATCTAAAACTATACGTTTATCAACATACATCACTATCTTTGAGATAGATGAATGATTGTTTTTGTTATCGGATAATAAATGAGAATGTTAAAATCTAGTAGTCGTGCAATTTTCGACTTGTTGAGATTTCCAAGCAATATGTTTATCACCTCCAAGATGATTATATTCGATTACAATCATGTCAAATATCTTACGAATAAATGCAAGTGTTTCATAGTTCGTGGTTGAAGACGAAAATCTTTGCTTCCTAGTGTGATAAAGAATAAAAAAAACTCTAAAGACATGTGAAAATTCAAAGAAGACACAATCGTAACAAGCACATTTGTTTTTTTATGCGTTTGACTTTCGAATTGAGTGTATCTCTAGAAATAAAAATCATATTTCATAGATCTAAGTTGCTTGAAGTATAGTTCAAATGAATTTTTAGTTGTTTCAATCTCATTATCATCCCGTAAGGCATAGATTATTAATTTAATTTTGATTCATAGAAGCCTACATAACACTGAGAATTGTTTTAAGGTTTAAGTTTGAAATATATATCTATAGATCAAAATCAAACTGATCAGTCATTTGTTACAAGATAATTACAAGATTGGCATAATTAAAAATGTATCTAAAATAAATTTCAAACAAATGAGAGCTTCGGATTATGATTGTTCCCTGTAGCAATACATTGAATTCAAAAACAGAACCTTTAGTAACATGCTAAGATATACGATAGAAATTATTCTACCTATAAAAATCTCATATAATTGCTACACGTTCTGTGAAAGTGACATATATAAAGAATGGTTCGTAGATTTTAGGCCATTTCGAGAATTCTCACGTCTTTCGAATATACTAAAGTTGGACAGATATTAAAAAAATATATTTATAATGTCTAAGCTATCATGTAAAAGTAACTATATTCAATTGACATCATTTTTCAGAAAATGCCTTTTTAGAAAACAGATTAAGCCATATTGGTCAAATCTATTGTCTAATCCTTTTTTTATTAGAATGAGAAAATTATCAAATGCATTCACTCTGAGTCATTTTTGTCATTATATACTTGAGGAGTTTCATGCTCAAATAAATTTAGACGTAGTTTTCTTTTTGCATGGTTAAGATACAAATATAATGAAAAAGAGTGAAAAACAAATTCGATCAAATTATTTTATCATGTTTACTAATGATGTATCCTCTTAATGAGGATATTAGTTGATTAGAATGAATTTTGATTAATAATTTAGATGTTACTCTTCAGCACTTATCTTTTATGTTTATTCAACTTTTTATATTCAAAAACAACATCAAAGTGGGTCAAAAATTTATAAAATACCATTTATATATAAAAATTTATTTATGATATCTAATAATAGTTATTCACTTCTTCCTCATCGTTGTAGACGTGAACAGAAAAAGTAACTAGATGGTATTCGAGTTTCTTTAGAATACGAAATGCAAGGTGAAGCACGAATGTCAAACTTTCGAAAAAAAACCATGTATCGTAAGAAACGACTGGTCGATTATCGATTTACTGTCGAATGTCCTTAACGTTAAGCTCTTTGTATTCGACTGATAGTAGGCCTTTTTCATGATCATTGTGAATCGAAAAAAGTTTCGTTTCTATCAATCAGCTGATCAAAGTCAGAAACACGTTGAAAAGTAGCCATGATATAACACATACCTATGGAGCCTCTACGAAACCCTAGAAGCAATCTTTTGACGAAAGAATTTCTTTTAGATGACTACGATGATTTTTTTTTTATTTCTAAAGCTCATCGTTTGATTGATCGCTTAATGATTTCTATAATTCAAAATCTAGAATGAGCTGTATTCACAGTTATTTGATACATGAGCTAGAATAAAGTGCACCTAACTTTTCTTTATTTTAATTATCTGAAAATTAAAAAAATGAAGTTCTCAAAATATTGCCAATTTTGAAAGGAAACTAAACATCCTGTTCGCTCTGTTTTAACGAACGTTTACTTATTCAGTATACATTAAATGTGTTCTCTTGTGGAAAAGATATCATAAATAGATGTTATAGCAGTTCTCGAGTAGTATTTCTTTATTTATATTAATCCAATCATTATTATAAATGTCGCTATTAACTTTTATTATTTGTTTGAAGTAATTTCTTTCATTCTGATATAACAACCTATACAACAATCATTAAATCATATTCAGTCATTTATTGAAATATCATATTGTTACAGTATGGTTTATAAATCAACTGACTCAACTAAAAGAACAGTACAAATCTTTGATAAAGAAAGAGTTTCGATAATTTTCACTCTGATTTTTTTTCTTGGATTACCATAAAGAATGAACTTTCTAGTAGTCTCTTATAGAATTCTGAAAACTAACAAAGATATGAGCAACTGTCCGTCGATAGATTATCATTGATGCTAACGATAATTAACCATTGCTAAGATCACTACTGAGTCTCGCGTCATTATATTGACATAATGAAAACAAAATCCGTAGAATATTTATAATATTCGGATTTTACTTTGAGTGAACGAAGCATCATACAGAAAATTGAATAAAATTTGTACTATATAGAGGTCTCAACATCTCTTATTATGTTTCAATGAGCATCAAACGATGTGCCATTCTCCAGATCATAGCGTCAAAAAAAAATATGAACTTTTTATGCGGAATTCGAGAAAGAGTACGATCGCTATACAGTGCTTTGCACCACATTGAAAATGAGAAATTCTCTTTTGCTATAAATAATACATAAAAAAACGAAAGACTGATATTATCGGTGACATTCAATTGCTTCACATATATCTACGATTTCGATGAAAGGACTACAAATTTAAAGACTGGTTCATATTCAACTATTCGTTTAAGTTGCATTTCTATCAATTATATTAACTATATATTGACTAGACGAAAAACAAATGCAATAAGTTTTCAAAAAATATGTCAAGCTATGTACGAAATAGTAATGAAAAGGCTACAAGGAAAGAATTAGTGATTACTATGAATGATAGAGACAAGTTACACGGTCATACAAAGAATAGGTGATGGAATGGATGGTTCACTGAAACGAATGAAAATTAGTAGACATAATTCAGAGATAAAGAAAATAGAATATAACAAAAAAACGAAAAAATCCACTTATCTAATTATGCATAAACAAACTGGATCATTACAATAATCTTTTACGAACTCGAAATATTTTCTGAAGATGATGATGTTACAATATCAATATTATTCAGAACTAGGTTCTTCGATAAACCGAAGTATTCTGAAACGATGACGACTCATGAAATCTTGAAGAACACTGATACTTGATATCGGATAAATAAAACTCATAAACACACTTGTTTTTTTATCTCAATGTCACATTACAAAACTTTTTATTTTTATTGGTTTTGTGGATAAGGAAACGTAATCTGAAGTATGTTGTACAGCTATCTAACGACTCATTGCAAAAAAAATAGTTAGCAAATCATGTGATTTATTGGAATTATCAACTAATGCAAAATAAACTACACAATGATAGAGGGGGAAAATGAGATGAAATTTTCTCAACTTTAATGCATAATCTATTTATTTTCTTGGCCTGAGTAAAATCAGCAAATGTAGAGAGAAACACAAGGATTTGTTCATCATCGCGATCAATTTAAAAGTGTCTGAACCTTAATAAAGAGAGCAAACAGATCTTTGTATTTTAATGGATTCTAATCAGTTAGCATGGGTTATTTATTTGCGAGGTGATTGAAAAACATTAATTTTTCGATAAGTCACAGTTAGATTTGTTTTTCCTTCGAAAAAAGTTATATTTTAATATATCCAATATCCTACATTATTTTTCTTTTGCCTCTTTTTGATTATATAATCTTTTCAATCTTTGATGCTTATCCATGCCGAAACAAAAAGAGCATTAGTGAAGTAATAAACATCTATTCACACTTAACTGATGACGACTTATATTTAGAAATGATCATAAACAAAAGAGAAAGTTCTTGAAAATTTCTTTGTTCCCACAGACTCTACAATAGAAACATGAAATGAATAAATATAACGATACATATACTACATCGCAAGTAGATCAGATCCAAATTAAAACTTTGAGAAAAATAATAGACAAACGAATTAAATAAATATATAATAGAAACTGGTAGAATCTCGCACACATCAAGAAGAAGATCAGTCGTACGTCTTTAATAGAATTGTTAAAAAAAGACTTGACATTTTGATAATAGATCAGATGATCTTTAAATACAAATTTTCATATCAGTAGTCTTCATATAAGTATAAGTTCTTAAACTAAAGATTCTACATTTTAACGAATCTCAAAAAAACAAATTCGTTGAAACAAGAGAATATGCGCAAATATATGTTTTCTTCGCTGATCTGTCCAGTTAAGATACTGTTCTGTCTTTAAATATGGCTAAATTCGAAAATGTTACCATGAAAACACGCAAAAACACGTTAGTCTAGAAAAAGTGTACGTGCTTTGACGTTCGCAGGTGTCTCTAATGTGGTTAAAAACGTTAAAAGAATAATAAAACAGCGTTCTTTACGATAACGTGGTCTAAAGACATTGCCTTAAATCAATTTTAATGCTGTTTTTTCAACGATCTTGTTTGATTTGGTTTCAGTATCACGTCCAATTGCCTACATTCATATTTCCTAATGTTAGAATAATACTTTGCTACAATGTCTTAACTTCAGAGAAGAAAAAGAAACTCTGAACATAGAAACAAAACAATATCAAATCTTGCTCACTTTTTAAAGACATCTTTTAGCGATTGTGAATGTAATAAGGGAATAATCATAAACAGTACTGATCAAAATTATAAGAAAAAAGCTTTTTTAATGTGTTAACTGTTTTTTTTTCACATCTTTAAGCATTTGTTTCATCTTATTACTTTCATCGAGTAAATAAGTATTTTTTTTTAATGAAAATACATAATTCTAAGAAAATGCTGAATTGGTATTTGGATACAACTAGTTAAATGCATAGGTCTTGGTAGATACATTAATTGAAGAACAGAGAAAGATCTGAAGACAAAGCTAATAGATGAGGAAAAAACGCTTTTTCTTGTAATTTTGAGCAGTACTGTATATTTATTTGTAAACAGACTGTTTTGCAAAAACGTGACTTAAAATTTAACCAACAAATATGTTTTTAAAATATTTACTTTTTTTTTTCATTTAACTTATTCGAAAACAATACCTTAAATAAGATCAAAACACCAAACTCGGAAGAGTCTAAGTTTCTCGAGACTCAAACCGGAACTAAGTTTTGTTTCTAATGAGAATTCGAATCGGAATCTAGATGATTGACCTTGCTCATGTCTAAAACTAATGATTGATATTGGATGAGACGTGAGTTTTGTGTTTGATCAATCAACTATGATTAATGACAAACAGGTACTTCCTCGATTTTATGCAACGCGTGGGAAACATATCGATGATTAGATGGTATGATGCACATTTTTTCGAACAATTAGGTAGCTCGTTATCGTCGTCGATTTATTTGTTCGAACCACGCTAGACAGAACGAACAAAAAAACACGGAATGCTTTCATACAATGATCGAAATATTTCCTTAGAACGTCACACTTAGTTAATTACGTATAAATTTGAGCATATGAAAGAGAACAGTATTTTTCGATGGATAAAAAAGAAACACAATACTATACAATCATCCATAGAACAACGTCGATGCACGTCACTGTTCTACTCACTGTGAGTATACTGAATTTCTCTAGGACACACAAGTAAGTGTATGCGTTTTCCTAGTGGAATCACTTCAAAAGGCGTTCATAGTCATTATTATTGAGCAAAGTTGCAGTTCTCAAGAAGAGTCAGTCACTAAGTTTGCATAGTTCTTTTTTTGTATCCTTGAAATTGTTTTTTTGCACAGAAAGTTTCTCGAAATTCTTTACAAAATAAGCAACAAATATTAAATACTGTAAAGCCATTTTTACGAGTTTGTTTGCTATTTAAGGTACCGAAAATGAGAAATTCAGGCAAAATTTTCTTTTTGTTCTTTTTTGTATATCATTAGGTGGTATGTGATAAGCTGATCATAAATAAATATGTTTTCATTTTATTGGAATGAGGTCTTATGCGGAAAATTTCGGCTTTTTTTTCCAATGGCCTACTATTTTTGAAAAACAAGTTGATTCTCAATCACCAACAAATTGTCAAATTTTTGTTTCTTTCAAATTTCAAGGCTATTTATTTCAAATTCACAATGAAAACTTGAATCTAGGAAAAAACCATTTATAAATGGCTTTCTTCTAGATTCAAGTTTTCATGGTGAATCTCAAAGAAATAGCTTTGAAATTTGAAAGAAACAAAATTGACAATTTGTCGGTAATTGAAAATTAATTTGTTTTTCAAAAACAGTAGATCATTGAAAAGCAAAAGTCGAAATTTTCCGCATAAGATCTCATTTCAATAAAATTAAAACAAATATAAAGAATAAAATATTTATTAGTGAACACCTAGTAACTATAAAAGATCTTGTGACCGACGAGGCAATTGTAGCTATAAATGTCTCTTTCTAATATAAACACTTTCTTCTGAACGATGTACACTTTTTTATTCGTTCTTTTTACATTTATAATCTTTCTCATGTGAACATGTTTTCTTGACCCTTCTCACTATTATAACCTTGCTAATGTGAACATGTTTTATTGACCTTTTTTACTAATATAACCTTGCTAATGTGAACATGTTTTATTGATCCTTTTCTTTTCAATCATCTGCTTGGTAAGCATTATGAGTAAGCACATTTTGTGTATGACTCAACCGTCGTATGTATATAATAAAGGACAACACGATTACCAACTTATACTTTGCGAGCAAAAAAACAATCTTATTCATGATAATAAAAACGTTAATGATTTATCACAACGTAAATTGAGTGAAAAATATAATACGTCACTCAGATCTGGATTAAATATCTTAAAACATAAAACTGAATATATGAATGATTATGAAACAAATCAGAATCAAAAATTTAGACGAAAATTAAAAGATGTCACTGCACAGAAAGTAGACAATCGAGTGTGCGAACGGTGTATATAACAAGGTATCAAAAAAAATTAGTTCAAAAGAAAAAAGACAAATGACATTAGGCAATTTTTTTTGAAAGCAACTAAATTTTGTGTCCTACATGAACATATCTTTCAATTCAACTGACTTGGATAAAACCAGATGAACAAGAAATAAATAACTAAAATTTGATCTATGACTAATATAGAAGTAGATTCTCTGAAACTTTTTCCTCATTTCACAGTAACCCATGTTTCAACCCTCTTCAACTAACACCTTCACACAGGGAACACTTTTGAATGGTTCCGACGGTGTTCATAATAGAGACATTTTTTTCTCTATTCTTGATTAACTCATCGCATTCTATCTAACAATACAAAAACAAGAAAACAAACCCTGCCGTATTTTCGTAGTATAGCGTTTTATAAAACCCATATTTGTTGTCAAGTATAGAATCGGTACTGATATAGATTTTAGATCAGTTTGTCTGTCTGAAGTTCGATATTTGCGGATTAAGGCAATCTTTACAGGCCCCATTGATATTTACGCATGACAGCTATCAGACCTGTAGATATCAATTAGATCAAGGTCAGATTAGTATCAGACATGTACCCAAACCAAAACTAATTTTCAGATTTTGGTATCGATAGTATTGTTTATCGTGTTGGTTTCGAGTGACTAAAAGAAAATTGATTTTGAAAGCGCAAATTCACAATACTCTTCTTCAAACTTTCTCATATATGTATCGTTGAAGCGGATTTCTGATCGAGCATTATATGTAAGAATTTTCTGTCTTAATTCTCGTACATAGAAACCTAAAATCTATGTAATGAATAATGAATTTTTCTAGAGACGATGCCGATTCGCACAATTATCTTTATGAAGTTATCTTTTATATATTTTTCTGTTCAACAAAACATTCCAGATCCTTTTCAATCAGATTTTGAGTGTTGTTGTTTCAATCTGAATATATTTTTGTTGAAGATATAGAAAACAATTAAAGTAAAACGTTTTTATTGTGAAGACCATTGAAACCAGTCAAAAGTGTATACTCTAGAAGATTGAAACAGGGGTTTACTGTTAAATAAAGAAAAAATTCCAGAGAATTTACTTCTATGTTAGTCACAGATCAAAGCTTACTTATTTATTCTCTTGCACACCCTTCGAGTATTTTATAGATCTCAATATCTGCTAAAATGTCTTGTAAAGATCATTCGAAAAAAAATCTTCCCCATTTTTCTGTTACAATATTTTCACATTTGATAGACTTAGTCATGTGTAACAACGTTTCATTCCTGTGATCACGAAGCAAATTTTTTAAAATTCATGATAATGTTTTCAAATCACTCTGTGGAAGAGGTACGCTACAATTTTTAAGTCATCGAAGTTTCTGGATAGTATTTAAAACCAAAAATTTATAATAATTATTATTGAACATAGAAATATTCTAGATAATTAAAAATTCAAATTATTGAAGATATTGATACAAGTATAAGTCATCAAAATACTATAAACAACATGAGTGCTGACGATTCAAATAAAATACAACCGAGTATTAGTGGTAGTGCATATCTATGGGATTATATGACGAAACTAAAGGATAAGGCAAAATGTAATATATGCTCTACTACTTTAAGTCGAAAAAATGGCACAACTAGTGGACTACGTAAACATTTACATCAAATGCATAAACTTCCATATTTTGGTGTTAAATCAAAAAAAGTAGACATAAAACCGCATCAATTTTCTTCCGATGAAAGAAAAAAACTGGATTCATTGATAATTAATGCTATCGTAGAAGATGGACGTAGTTTCGGTGACATGAGAAAACCAGGCGTATTGAAAGTATTTAATCATTTAGCACCCGGTGAGAAAAATATAACATAGATTATTTTTGTATTTTTATTGTCATTTACTAGGCTATTCGCCTCCTCATCGTAATTCTGTTCAACGACGATTAAAGCGATTACAATCTGAACAAAAATTAATACTTACCAAAGATTTATCAAAAATTCAGTCTTTAGGTATAACATGTGATTTTTGGACTGACAAACGACTTTATTCTTATTTATGCTTAACTGGTCATTATATAACATCGAATTACCAGTTTGTTTCAAAAATACTTTCGTTCTCATGGTTTCATCATCGTCATTCTTCTACGAACATTTCCATGGTTATTAAGAAAGAACTCAAGGAGTTGAATGTATTGGAAAAAACACGGTCGATCACAACCGACGGTGCTGCTAATATGGCGAAAATAGGTGAAACGCTTAATGGTGGTACAGAACAAATATACTGTTAGTAATTGTACGTTAATTTATTGTTTCTGATAATATTCATTTTTAGGCGTAGCCCATCGTCTTCACTTGGTGGTATGCAATGGGCTTGGACTTTGGGTTCGTAAACAAAAAACCCTATATTCATCAAATAATGATGCAATATCAAAAATTGATATAATTGAAGATGATTCCGATGAAGAAGATTTTACTGATGATGTTCAATTCATTTCACAACCATCATCAATCACTACTTCATCAAGTTCACTGGAATCATTAAATAATTCATCGGATGTTCCGTATGAATTATTAAGCATAAATCCTGATAATAATGTCAGTATAAATGAAAATTTAATGGATGATGAACTGGATAATTTTTCGAACGATATTATTGATAACTGGTCGATTGATGTTATTGAAGATCTTGACACATCATCAGGTGAAACAGTACAACTACATATAGGTAATTTAATGAAAAAATGTAGATCCATGGTTAAATTAATAAATAAATCATCTATTCTCACGAATTACGTTGTTAAACTTAAGCAACAATTCAATATTCATCATTCTCTTCAATTGGATTGTAAAAATAGATGGAATTCATCTCATCAATTAATTGAAGTTATGTTAATGTACAAAAAAATTATCAATAAGATTCATAGTGAAAAACGTGATATTAATCTTAATAAAAAGCAAATGAACAAACTTTCTTCAATCGAATTAGATCAATTTGATTGGAAAATGCTTGAATTATTGGACTTTGTCTTGAAGCCATTCGTACAAGCAACAAAGCTTCTAAATGGTACACCATATCCTACCATTGGTATTAGTTATTTTGCCATTGTTCAAATTCGAGATTTTCTTGAAGATTCAAACACTGTTGATGATGATGATTGGAAAATTTTATTTAATTTCAAAGTACTATTATTAAATCAGCTTGAAAAATACTTCTTTGGAAAAGACGAACAATGGCAATTGATGAAAGTAAATAATTTGTATATCTATACATTCAGTAAAAAAATCTTCTGTATATTAAGAGTCATGCTTATTTCGATCCTATTGGTTACGGATGTTTAACGCGACGAGAAAAACGAGCAGTTGAATCCAATATTTTTGAATCGCACGATCAACATATTATTGAAGAAACGGTCGATGAGCAAGAAGTTAATCAGACGCAATCGAAATCAAGTGTGAAACGTAAATGTGAATCATCAAAGGCATCAACGATGACAAAATTTCTTAATTCAGTTGGTAAAAAATCTGCATCTTCATCAATGAGTCTAACAACAACTAACAAGAACACATTAGGTGAAGAAATTGCTACTTATAGAACATTAGCTCAAAGAGAATATAATTCTATAGTTGATGGCGATAAAGACCCTGATGTAGTAAGTATCATATAATTAAAATAAGTTTTTTTTATATTTCAACTGACTTCTTCGTCGATCTCATAGATGCAATTTTGGCAATCACATCAAATCGAATTGCAACATTTATCTAAAATTGCTGCTTCTTATCTTTCTACTCCAGCTATTTCTGTTACATCGGAATATGCATTCAGTACGGCCTCATATCTACTACGAAAACAACGGTCTCATTTAACACCCATCAATTTATCTCATTCAATGTTTCTCAAAGATAAACTTTACACCAATTTTAACGCATAGAACTAATAAAGAATGCTATGAGGTCAAACTATAGCTTCTTCTACTTTTTTTTTCATGAAACTTATCAATTCAGCACAACATTAATTTTTATTGAACATTCATTGTCATCATTTTTTATTTTAACCATATTTTATATTCAGTTTGTTTTATCTTATTTATAACCACGATAAACATTTGTTGATATAATAAAAGTATGAAGCATAATCCTCTTGCAAAGAATTTGTAGAGAAACACTAAGTGCAATCGATAAGATAAATAGCAAAGAAAATCTAACCTGGTACAAACTATGCCAGTTTCTGTTTCAGTTGCGATTCTGTCAATATCAAAATCATATGTGATATTTGCTTGAAAATATTTCATGAGATAACATCCTAATAAATGAAGCGTGATTATCGGTATACTATTGATACAAGCAACCTGATTATTTATAATACAGTAATAAAACTGCTCAGACACTAAGAGATTACATAATATATGAATCAGATAAGTTCATTGAGAACAGATATTCGATCACTAAGGAACTATTAATGAATAGTTTCTTCAAAACAAAGCAATATTATGCTATTCAGTTTAACAAAAGTTCTGTGCTTTTTACAGGTTAACAACTATTTCGATCAGAATCTGTTTGAATTTGAAAATATTACTTACATGGCAGAAGTATCTGTTCATATAATATAGATATTTCGTTAGTTGAAAGCGCCTTCTAAAAATGAGACTTACTGTTTTGAAAGCAATATAAAATTTTAAATAGCACTTCTCTTACTAAAGTAAGGACTCTCCTGCTGAATTTATTATGAATGCATTTTCCGGACCACACTGTTTTCATTAAATTATGAGTATCAGTGTGAGTATAGAAGTTCTCTTTACTCGTACACTCACCCACATCAATTGCTTTAATAGAAGTATGTTTTCTCGCATTTAAATTACAGTAAAACAACTACTAAGGTTTTTTTGACGTCTTCTTATTTTTATCATTCCTTAATAGACTTTTTTTGATTTGTTTAGTCGATGACTAGCACTTTTTTAAGGTAATATTAGTTGAATTACAGTCTGGTTGATATGATTTTTAAGAAAATATGCAGTTCATTTCTTATTTTTATTTTAGCTCTTAGTATATATTTTATACACCATATCACTTAGCATCCATCAAAACAAAAGCATTATTTAAAATAAGTTTCTTGGATTCATCTTTTTCAAAAGTCGAAATAAATTTATTTACTAATGCAAATATCTGTAAACAACTTATTTATTATTGAATCTATAACATCAGTAGATGTCATTGTGAATTGAGATTTACGATATTTATTGTTCTTTATTATTTATATGATGTACCATAGGAATAATATATCAACAGAATATATTCAGTGTTTTATTTCAATATGAATTCAACATTAAACACGAAGACTCATACGATTTTTTTCTTTTAACTATTAAAAGAAAAAATGTCGGTAAATATCAATATCGTTCATTCAGTGATGATACAACACTCATTACTATACTTACTAATCATCGTTATACAGCAATTTCACTTCAATCGATTCTTTGCATTAATGAACATCTTGGTTGTGTTAAAATATCTCTTAGTACTTTGTATATTTTCCTTCTTAGTAGCTAGTTATTGCAGGAATTTTAATTTCGATTTTTGTAATTGAAAATAGAGCCCTAAAAAACATTCTAATTTATGTCTTAGCTATCATTTGATTTCTGATGAATCTAGTCGTATTTATTTATTTATTTATGTTGTCATACACAACGTAAATTTATTCAATTACGAACTACTTTTGGTTCAATATTAAAATGATTTAAAAAATCATGCTAGATTATTTAAAGCTCAACTAAGTAAGCAAATGTCTCGAACAAAAATGTTTTCAACAAATATCAATATCAACAACATTCTGACCTATTGCTCATTCTCCTAATAAAATACTGGTAATGGAACAATCATTAATAACTTCAGATTCGTTCTAATCAACATATCTTATCTTTATAATAATTTTTTAAAAACTCTTACTAAAGATATGATCTGTAAAATCAATTGATAAAGAATGGAAATATAGCTGCAACTGAATGAAAATGTTAGTTAAATCAGAATAATAAAAAACGAAGCAAAACTACACACATGCACATAAACAATATCTTCTTTTTCAATATAACGATATTCTCATGATTATACACAAATGAAACAAAAAAAAAATTAAGTTTTTTGGTTTTTTTTTTATAGTTTAACACTGTGCATATATCAAGCAACACAAACAAAAAATGATTGAAATAGGTTCATAGGAATCGAAGAAAAGATACTTCAATATAAATGCCTTATGATCATTGTGATGGATTGCTTGTTGCAACAGTTGTTGTTTCGTTTGTTTCAGGAATAGTATCAGTCGTTGGAACGGTAGTATTTGGTTGTTGTCGTTGACCATTTGAATTAAATAAGTTTTTAAAGAAATTACGAATTGTTGTGATTGGACCGCCCTGTTTATTTGCTGCTGCACTAGCAGGTGCTACTTGATCAGCAGTAACTGGTTGTGAACCAAGAGCAGTTTGATCAGATGTTTGAGTGACAGAAGCTTCTTGTGGAACACCATCGGTGGTAGAAGTACCAGTTGTAACAACAGAAGCTGTTACTGTTGTACTGGTAGTTTCAGTTTTAGTTGCAACTTCTTCGTCACCAGGTGCAGGATGAGAAGCTGTTTGTGTTGATGCTAATGATTGTTTAACATCATCTATGAGAGAATTTGTTTTTTCTATTAAATAGAATTTAGAAACATTGAATACAAAATATTTTACCTTGTACTGTTGTTACAGTACTATCTTTTGTTTCAACATCGGCTGGTGGAGCATTAAAAACATCTTCTGGTTCAACATTGGTTGGTTGAACATGAACAACAACTTCTCCTTCACCGCCAGGTGGTGGAGCATTGAAAACAACTTCAGCTTGATCATCGTTTGCTGAAATATTGTAAACAGCTTCTGACAATGATCCTACTCGATGTTTAACTGTTTCAGTCACCGCAGTTGCACCACTAACTATTGCATGTTGTGTTGTATCAAGTATTTCACTACCTTTATTTAAAGCCTCAGAGCCTTTCTCGCCAATCCAATGTTTTGCTTCTTCAACTTTTTTTTCACCTAAATTAAAAATGTAATTTAAAACTAGAAATCATTCTATATAAATTTTACCTAATTTCTCGGCTTCAGTCAAGAACCCTTCAGTTGATTTTTCTAATTCTTGTACTTTAACACTTGTATCATGAGCCGTTTGTTTAACAGTATCAACTAATTCATGTGTTTTTTCTAAATTTCATACAAATAAAAAAAAAAAAGAAAAAGTTTTTAAATTATTTGCATAATATAACAAAAAAAGAAAATCACTAACCTTGAACTATCTTTTTAGCAGCAGCTAATTTCTCCTCCGCAAGTTTTTCACCGGTTAAGAAAGCTTCCTTAACACTAGCAGCAAGTTCATAAGCTTTTTCTATTAAAAATCAATTTTATTTTAATAGAAAAAGAAAAGATAAGAAAAGCAAATGATCACACAGCTTATAATACCTTGAACCTGATGTACTGTATCCGTTGTTTTGACTTCTGCATCATGAGCAGCAGCTGCAGCATCTTGTTTTAACTCAGAAGCTTTCTCTGAATAAATAATCAATTAAAAAACAATATATATATATACATATACATATATGCGAGAAAAAAAAATAACAACAAAGTTCTACCTTCAGTATTATGTGCTAATTCTTCAGCTTTTTCTAAAAAAAAAAAAGAAGCCTTTTATAGACATATAATTTAATAAAACAAAATAATAAACCTTGAACATGATCTGCTGCTTCTTCAACTTTTTCTTGAGTATCATGAGCAGCAGTTACTGAATCTTTTTCTAATTCATTTATTGTTTCACTTGTTACATGTGCTACTTCATTAGGTTTATTATCAGTTGTAGCAATTACTTCGTTGACCTTATCTAAAAATGTTAATTATATAAATTCTTTTTCTGCTTTTCCTTTCTCATTATCAATAAAAATGATCTAATTACCTTTGACTTCATCAGTATTGGTTATATTCATTGATGTTGCTTCTAAATATATCATAAAAATATATCGATGAAAATTTTATATAGTATAACTAACCAGTTTCATGCATGGCAGATGCTGTTGAGTCATTCTCAACTGTGACATGAATATCATCAAGTTTACGAGTTACAGATGCAACAGAATCATTTGGATCTTCAGTAAATGATTGTCCTTTTTCATGATGACTTTCAGTGGTTGTTACTACATTTGAATCATTTTGATTTGTCTCATGTTTTTCACCTTCAAGGACATGGGTGTCATCTAGGAAAATCAAATATATTTAAATAGAAAAATAGGATTTCTTTCCAAATATTTCTACCATGTGCTGAAGATGCATGGTGATGACTTTCTGCTGTTGAATTATGTTCAGCCATGAGTATTTAATAAATATATGTATACGTATGAAAGAAAATTAAATCTTAAAAGACAAAAAAAAACAAAATAATACATTAAAGATAATAATCAACTATGGTTTTTTTTACAACAATATCTTTCGCAACAACTTGTACTTTCTTAACCTTCTGACTAATACTTGTACAGCTGCCTATACTATTTTATCTAGTCTATCTGTTAATAACGTCGGTTTGTTAGCCTAAAGAAATGATGTATATATATATATATATTCAGATTATCTGAAATATAAGATGAACGCCAGTCGAAGAAGGACAACAAAAAAGAATATAGACAAGACAGAATGAATTCTTATATAACCGGCAGCTTTGGCAACTTTTTATCTTTCAGTAGCAACAAAAAAACAATGATAAGTAACAACCTGCTATTCGTTCCTTTTTATGTCTGTTCATGTATAGTGAAAAAGATGAAGAGAAGATAGATGAAATGTCTTAATGTTTCATCTCGAATAAATAATCATCTAAAGTGGACTATGTACTAGAATAAAAACGGTTACATCTCAAAGGACTTTGTAGCTTGAGTAAGTGTAAATATATGATCTTTGTCTGCCCTTGACTTCTCAACAAAAAAACGACCGTCATGTTTCTACTTTCTGGTGCTTTGTTGTTAAAGCAATGAGAGAAGGAAAAGGCCAAAGTTTACATTGTTTTGCTGTCCTTCTATATATATTATCTGTCTCTTCCTTTCTCAAGGGTAATGTACAGCAAAGAATGAAAAGAAAAAGACACACGAACGAAAAAACAAACAAACAAATAAACAACGCTGTATCTCTTTCTGTTTCTTAAGAAAATGACTAAGAGAATATATACGTGTATGCTCTATCTATCTTTGTTTTTATAAGCGAATGCGACGACGTCGAACAACGTAATAGATGCAATAAAATTCTCTCTTTTTTTCCTTATACTCTGCAATGATTTTTTTTTCTTTCTCATTCTATAAACACAAAAAAAAACACAAAAACGACATCTGGATGAATGATTACTTTCGATGCCATACATATAAATAGAAACAGAATGAGTAAAGTAATCCATGACGGTAATGTAATAGAAGTGACTACTCTTATTGTGTGCATGTACTCTTAATGAATCAGATTCAATATTGATGTCAAAAAAATAAAAAAGGTAGACGCAAAAAATAAGAAAAAAATAGGACGCTGCGTGTTCGGCATGGATGCTGTAATGGCAGACAAAGTTTTCTCTCTCTCTCTCTCTTGCTTATTCTTTATTCGTTTAAAATATAGTGAAAGAAAGAAATGAGAGAAAGGACAACATGTAGGTCGACTTTAAAATAAATATTGTTATATATAAAAAGTGTTTGTTACATATGTAAAATTAATATAAAAAAAAGAAAGATAACTATATATTTAACTAAAGATAATGTTGAAAATTTCATTAGTATTATACTATTCTTTTAAACTATATTATAAATATTCTAGATTTAAAAAATTAATTAATACATTAGATGTGTGACTCATTGAAAGAAAAGCAAACACCGACATCTAATGATCAAGATTTGAATTTTTGGATTGGAAGATGGCAAGAAAATAAAATTGGCTTTCACCGAACGTTTGTCAGCGAGTGGGTTTTATATTCTATTCTCGTATTATCAATGTATTTAATCTCATTTCTTGTTACATCATTTTAAAGCTTATTCAAGAAACATGTTCTTTCAAAACTCGCTTCATCGAAAGAACAACAATGTGTAGTTTTTCCATTATGTGGTAAAACATTGGATATGAAAGCAGTTTTAGATATAGGTCATCGAGTTATCGGTATTGAAGGTTTTCAAAGTGCTGTAGAAGCATTTTTTAAAGAAAATAACATTCCATATGAAATCGAAAAAGATGAAAGCAATCAATGTGAAATTTACAAAGTAAATGAAAAATAATCTATTCTAGTAGTATTTATTAACACTTTACTTATGAAGGGTATCGATTGTCCTGTTACCATATATGTTGTTGATTTCTACACTTTTAACAAGTAAGAAATTTATCAATATTTATTTTTTGAAAATTTTCAAAAATGTTTGTAGATCTCTTCCACCTGTTGATTATATATGGGATCGGGGTGGTCTCGTAGCTATCGATCCATCGAATCGTGAACAGTTAGAAATAAATATGTATTTATTATTATTTTTCTTTCATTATTCATTTATTTTTGTAGATATCGAGATTGCCTTCTTCGAATGATGACGCCTGGTCATACTCAACTCTTTATTGCAGCCGTATATTATAATGATCCTACTTTTAGTGGTTAGTAATTTCATGTTAAGTTTTAATAATCATATGTCACAAGTATTTTATAATAGCTCCTCCTCATATTGTAAGTGATGATGATGTCAATCATTTGTTCGGTAAGTAATAGAAGAGAAAAATGTTCATTTAATTTATTGTCATACTATTCTTATAGGATCGACGTGTTCATCTAAATTTGTCGAAGCACATGATGAAACAGAAGAATTTAATTCACGAGATGCGCTACGTCGCGTAAATTTTATAGAAGAACGTCTTCATTTAATTGTGCGAAAACAAATGTGATCTTAAATCTTGGAGAATGTTTCATATTTAATTAGATAAATTTTCTTGATTTGAAACACAATTAGTTAAGTTACTTAATTCAACATCTGCTATAAAAGATTAATTTTTTCTGAAAGAATATGTATCATTATAAAAGTGAATAAAAGTCCATTTAGAACATGTAATTTATCTTTTTTTAATCATATGATTCTATAATATAATTGAATCTTTGAAATTTTTAGATAACAACAAAATAGCAACGGTTTTTTATGCTTTGTTTTTTGTCTAATTCAATAATGAAAAGTACATTGGAGAATAAAAAAAAACTGAATATCATTAATTATGCTTGTCACAACAAATGATGAACTCGATTTTACCAGTAGATTATTCTCAATAGAAATTGGGCATACTAATGCAAAATAGAATAGAATAAGTCGATTGATGACAAATGACAAGAATAATCTAAAGCAAGAAACAAAAAAGATTTTTAATCTAAATATAGTCGTCGTCAAAGAAATAACCGTTGAATATAAAGAGTAGCATGATTAATATGGTTACTTGCTTATTCATCCGAACTTCTATAGAGACAGCTTGAATCAACAGTCATCGATTAATCATTGGATAAATGTAAATCTCTGTTTGTTCCATTACGTAGATTTTGATCGATCGATATGTCGTTCGCGTATCGAAAAGAGCAAAGATTTCAAAAATTTATTGTCTATTTGGTTAAACTTGATCGAGAACTTATTATTGACAATGATTACAATATAGTAAGCAAATAAAAGAAATGAAAGATACAATGTTGAATTGAAAAATTCCTGTTGAAAAAACTACGGTTACTAAAAAAACATTGATATCTTTTCTTGAATAATGCTTGAAAGAAAAGTTCTCTTTGATTAATATTCGCTGACACTTTAATAAATAATATAGAAATCATTTTTACTACACAAATGTACAGAAGAATTATTTATGCAGAGATTGATGCATGTCATTGTTTGCAATGACATATTAATAGAGTATGAATATTTCCATGATCATGATGTAGAAATTGGAAATTCAAGAAAGTCCAATGGGATACATTATTTTGAGTAGCCATTTTAGGGTTTTATATGTCAATCTCTATAACCTTTCACACTGTAGTGGTTTATAAGAGTGCGTAAAGCTTCCTAAATTTAAGATTCCTTGCATCCTCCTGAATTCCTTCAATTCAATGAAAATCCTAGGATATTAAATGAAATCCATTGTTTTGAACTCATTCCCGCATTGGGATTGTATGTGTGAATCTGGGCAACTTCTTGAGAAAACTGCATGTAAAATAACTTCGAACCTTCTCATTGTAGGATGTCTTGGATTTCACTGAATTCCACTGCGATTGCTGTTTACTTTCCGATTTCTGGATGGTCTGTATTGATGTCTTTCAATCCATGTACATGCTGGCCGAGGGTACATGAACAAATGAATTTAAGCGGAACAGTGTCAGATAAAAACCAGTTATTAATGTATCCATAGCCAGCGTCCTTTCATATTCGTTTGCAATATCTTTACTTTCTCCTATTTAGTGTCCTGTAACACGGTCGAATACTCAGTATCTGGCCTTGTCTGAAGTATGGATCCAAGTGCAAAGTCGCTAGGTTGATTCGAGTTCCAAATATCATCTCATATCCAGACCTAATCCAGCAATGAAAAGAGATCTCGACATTTCAAACGATTTTTTTACTTTTTCAAACTGATAATATATATAAAAAGATAGCAATGAAAACTAGTTCTATCGTCATTGAGTAATTTATTGTACTTGAGAACAAACTATAGAAGTTAAAAGCGATATTGTTTTACTAAAAGAATTTGTTTTTTTTTTTTCAATGAGAGCTTATTCACAGATGATCATGCACTATATGATGAAGTGATTAAATATATGAAGAGGAAAATGAATTATCAAAAAGGTGAATATGTATAATTGTAATAGAAAAAAACATTCATGAATGTAGTCACAATTATGACGTTTGGTGCCAAGACACTGCATTCCACTTTGGTGTTATTCGCAACAAGAAAATGTATAATTAGCTAAAATGATCAGATTTAAAAAGAAGAAAAATAACAAGTGAATTTTCGTTGTTGTTTCTGAAGGAACTAAAATAGAATATTTTTTTTTCATATAAAATAAAAATTTGAAAACTGTATTGTGATTACGAAGGTATTTAGCCGATGTCGATTAGCTTCAGTTAGGGTTCGATTGCAAAAAATTGTACTTGTACTGGGCACTACTTCTATCTAACTTGCTTGTGAAAATATTTTACAAGCGAAGAACTGGATTCAGAACATCTTCAATAAGCTCCTGCGTATGTTTGAAAAATTTAAACTCAGCAAACTTTTTCGAAGAAAAAATTCTTAAAAATATCAGATCAGCAAACTGATATTTGTGCTTTCTATCAAGAGTAAATAAAAGAGCATTATGTATTATAATGAGTAAACTTAGCTCTTATTCATATTTTATGTTGATGTTATCATATATGAGAGTAAGAAGTGAATGCTTGAATTGAAAAAGTTGATGAACTCAAAAAATTGATTTTAAATTAAATTTCAATAAAGTAAAATACATTTAATTAATTAATTTTTGAATCTAAATGTTTGAAACAGAAATGTAAACACATTGAAAAATATAACTTTCAATGTTTTCTTAAAATCTATGGCACATAGTGAATTGTTCTCAAAAAAAAAACAGTTGAAAATAAATCATAAATATTTGCTAATTGATAAAGATCGTGAGATCATAAACATTCTAAGAATTCTTTTGTCAATGTTTTTCTAAAAGATTGATATTTTTTCTTAATTCGATGAAAAAACTACTGTGTGATGCACTAACAAAAAAACAGAAGTTAATTGATTATTAAAAGTTTTCAATCGTTTGTATTGAACTCTTATCATCAATCCGATTATTAGTGATTTCCTTAGTGCATAAAAATATCAACCAATAACCTTTTCTGAGCTTTATTTCATAAAAAATATACAATCTCTGATAAAAATAAATCAAATAAAATATATATAGATGTTTACTTTCAATAGTCTTTTGAAGTTATTACACATATATTTATGAGAAAATCTATTTATTTATTTAAGATCATATATTTGCTCATTAGATATCTATACCATAGAAAATACACATAATATTCAATATTTATATTGTCATTGTCTACACATTCAAAAAAACAAAACAGTTCATGAACACATTGAATACTACTCAATAAATCAGCAATAATTTATAAGCAATCATTTTACTTCAATTTTATTTTCGTGAATAAGAAAACATACTCTTTTGTCAAATATAAATTGTGTATCGATCTTAATAAGTACACATATATACATAAGTCAAAAAGTAATTCTCATGTTATCTATTCATTTTGTTTCTATTGAGTAAACATTGTTGAATGAAAAAATCTATAGAATAATCAACAAACATACTATAGCCACGCGCATAACTCATTTGTCAATCAGCTTATGTTCTCCTTTCTCCTTCACTTATATCCACTTGATTAGATTTTATCGTCAACATCCGGCCTTCATTTTCTCAATTGTGATTGAGTAGAAGAAGTCGAAGAGAGCAAACAAATGAGTATAAATAATAGTTGAATTTACCATAAATATACAGGTGCATAAGAATCACATAAAGAGTGACAAAGACAGTAGTTCTTTGCCTTTCTATCTCAGCATGATATTTAACACTTAAATATCGAAATGAAAGCTAAATTTTAATTTGAACATTTATATGTATGAAGTAATCTGACAATCAACTTAATACGTATGTTATATATACAGGTATTGTTCTCATAGCGCATGCGATAAGATATAAATCGATTGACGACGATACAATTTTGTTTTTATAATGATTTAACGAATAGACAAATACAACACCTGTATGATTAAATGCCTTAAGGCATCTATTATAAATCGAGTAACACTTTATTAATTATATATATATAGATGTCTTGTGGACACATAAAAAAAAAAGAAAAGAAAAGATCAATTTCAAAACTAAAATACTTATCAAGTCATTGGATAAAATGAATGTATGTAATTAAAACCACAGAATATCAAATAACAACAAATGACAATATTGATGTAATCGTTGATTCTTGAACAAATAAAATCAAGACAAAAACAAATCCTATCCTTTGCTTTCTTTTCTGTTTTAATCAGACTAACCTAAAAATGGAATCAGCTAGAATTTTTTACCACCGATCTACCAGCTACTGACAATAGACTGCTGCATTATCGTACTATTCTATCTATGGATAGTGATATTTAACATCATCAAGTTTCATTACACATATTGTATAAGTGAATAAGCACAAAACAATAAATAAGACACTGATAATGATCGGTCAGTACCGGTTCCATCTTTGTATTAACCATTATTATCGTATATATATATATTTTTTAACATTTCTACAAAACAACAACTAATTGAAATTTGAAACGCACGTGCCACTTTCAATTTCCTTTCATTGACAGACATGAAAAAAAAGAAGAAAAGATCAAAACAATAATACACAGCCATATCAACAGACCACAAAAAAAAATGTCAAAGAAAGAACAAGGAAACTATTCATTGCCGCTACCATAGAAAATCTAAATGAAGTGTATGTGCAATTGACTGCAATGAAATTGATATGACATTGAATACAAGACACTTATCGATTGTTGATCAAAAAGAACAGCGGCAATGATCTTGATCTAGTTTGTGTGTCTCATCCGGAGGAATTCAAGAGTCTCACTTTTCAAAAGACAAAGCAGACAAAAAAGGAAAAACGAAAGCAGTAGTATACTATATACATATGACATTTTCATGAATGATTTTCTGTCTCATTGACAAATATCTACTTGAGTCAATACGAAAGACAAATGAAAAGGTGATGATGATCACTACTTGACCATATCCGGTGACCTAATCAGTATTTCATACTTAACACATTTGAAGAAAATAAATATGTTCGCGTGTCAATCGAAAAAAAAACGTGATAAGTCAATCATTATAAATATGTATCTATGTACTTGTTGATTGAATTAAAATTCCATAAATCGAAAAAACAAAAGGTGATAAATCATATTTCCTTAATTAACAAAAAATTTCCATTTAATCAATAAAAACAGAAAACAAACTTTATTTCATTAGTGAATAAAATCAAACGAAAAAGATTAATATTATTTAAATATTAGGATGTATATATATTGAAAAATAAATAATAGAAGAAAAAAAAAAAGAAACAAATTCAATATACATTGAGGGCTAAATAGCACCATCAACCGGGCCAATGAACAACAAATATTGTTTGAAAAAAAAAATTATAAGAAAAAACGAAGAACATGACATAAACCATTAATAAATGTAATGGTTCGTTGGCCAAATATGTGATCGATTGATGATGAAGTGTTGTTTATCTAAACAAAAACAAAGGTTCCATATGAATGAAAACTATTGATAAATATTTATATATATTGATCAACGAAAAAAAAAAAATATTGATTTATATACGAAAGATAATCACCTGTAATTGTTCATCAATTTGATCACCAACTTTTCTTAATATAGTTGCAATATTAACAATAGTTTCTCGTCGTTGTTGTTCAATAAGAATATCATTAACAAGATCAGGTAATTTCATTGATGGTATAATTTGTTTTTCACAACTATCTGTAATCATTGTTGGTAAAGAATTTATTATTGGTATTGTTAATGATAAATTCATTTGTTGTTTACGATTTATTAATAAAAATGTTTGACGACGTTTTCTTAAATTAATTGATCCATGATAACGTTTTATTGGTGATAAGGTAATTGTCGTTTTTGTTGTCATTCTATTCAAATATGTATATATATATATATGAATGTGTTGATTGATATAAAAATGGAAAATGAGAAACGAACGATCTCGATAGAATGAGAGAAAGAGAGAATGAAAGAAAAGAATGAAAAAAAAAGTATTGATAGGAATGATTAAAAAAAAAGAAGTGGAACGTTTGCTTAATTGAAGAACAGAAAAAAAGAGTTTTGTTCGTCTTAATTAGATTCAGATATATTTTTAAAACAATTATAATGACCGTTATACATAAAAGATTGATGAGGTTTTTTTTTCTCATATCTATGAAATCTAGAGTTTTGTCCCGTTTCATTGATACTTTTTGTTCAGCAGTAGTTTGCTGGATTACGCTAACGGATCTATGCAGAATCCTCGCGGTATACAAGGTTGTGGATGTGTGTAGAAGTAAAAAAAAAAAAGTTCAATACCTGCAACCACATCCGCTAATCGAAAGCATTTCTTTGGTCTTTCTGTTAATGATAGCGTTCGTTTTCAAATTGTCGGATAGTATCACTGCTATTCAGTTTATTTAAAGTAATATTTCTTCAGTAAAATTCTAAAATTGTTTAGAAAAAAAATTGTGTCGATGAAACGGGAAGATACAAATTTTGACTATGTAACTAATGTTTATTGACTATTTTAGTTACTCTTCATTTTATGATTCGTTTCGAATAAATTACAATCATTAAGAATTTCTTATTGATTTCAGTTCTATCAAAAATTACACTTAGTCTTTTCTAGCATCTGTATATAAATGTTTATATTTGACCGACATGATAATAATCTTGTTTGTCTATATACATAAGATAGTGTGAGGAAATATCAAAACGACACCTATGCATTTACAACTGATTTATTAGTCATTTCTTGTTTAATGAGTCGTATAAATTCAAGAGAAGAAGAAGAAAATAGATTATCGATTAATAGAAATAATAATAATTGAGAAGTCTTTTGATCATAAGTCAAAATTAAAAACAAAAACTTACGGTTGACAACGAAGCACTTGACAGTAGTCAAATAGAACAAAGAAATGTAAAGACTACAAACGAATCTATATATCATCAAAAAAAAAAAAATACAAGAAAGAAAGAAACGAAATGTTTCAAAATTGCGACTACTTGAATGATTATTGTCTTTTCTTTTTCTGGCAATACAAAAAAACAATTGAATTAAATATATATTAGAAAAGAGAGAGAGAGAAAAAAATTAATAATTTCTTTTCCACTTTTTTTTACACATGTATGCACATATGAACAACATATACTCTTATCGAATAAGCGTGATCACCATTGTTCTCACACTTGAGTAATGTATGTCTAGCCAGTCAATGTTGTCGTTCTATAGACACGCGATACCTTCTGCCCTCCCAACTCATCATCTTCATACAATGAATGAACACATTCGTATACAGGAAATAGTAGAGTCATAGCATGCTACACCTGCATTCAATCAAACATTTCATACAAATAGGCGAGAAAAGTTGTAGTAAGTAAAAGCAAAAACTACGAACTTCTCTTGTCTATTGTTTAAGTGAGAGGCATATAAAGAGATATATTCATTCATACTCGTGCAGACAGATCATTTAGATGAGTTCACAGTAGGAGTCACTTTGTTTGTTTTGTTTGGAAAATACAAAACTTCATTTCAAACTTATACAGAATTATAATCAAATGACTGTCAACTTTCGCTAGTTGAGTAAGCAATATTCTTATCATAATAATAGAATGTATATTATACAAGTTAGCTACACTTTTTTGAACAGCACGTGGATCTACTCATATTACGTACCTTGTCGTCACCTTGTAGAGAATCATGCTGAGGTGACAAGATGAAAAAGTGCCGTATCATTTATTTTTTTTTTTTTGTTCGAAAAACAGCAAATCAAAAGTTTGTTTTCGATTATCATCTTATATGAGACAATAGCAGATAATAGTGACAGTTGAACTGTGCCATATAGATCAGAGACAAATGATGACCTTAGGCTATATGATATTGTATAGACACAACATGTCACAACAGGTTACATACTCAATAGTATATCGATCTACATGCACTAAAACAAAAAGAATGGAGAAGATGACTTACTAAATTCTTTTTTTTTGTTATATTGTGCCTAGATCTATTGTGAATGATGATCAGAAGAATCGAAACAATATATATATATACAAGAGATCAAAAACAAGTTGAGTATGTTTTAAGTGGTTGTTAACAGATAAACAACAGTATGTGTGCAATCATTCGAACAAAACAATGATGTTGTCATATGAATTCAATGGATATGACGTATATGTTCAGAAAAATGACCTCGATTAATCTCGACTGAGTACCTTGAACATGATCATCATACTGGCAAAGTTGATGGTCAAATCTTATCACTATTCACTTACATTTGATACTTTTTTTTTCTTTTTTTTGCTATATTATTAATATCTCTCGACGTAGTGAGGACAACTTGTGCCGATGGCATATTGAACGAATGTCAATGAAGATAAAATATAACTGATTTTCACTAAAGAAAACCTTACTGAATTTTTAACTAATTTAACTTGAAATCATCCTGTTCTTGTTTTTTTCGTTTTTAAAAAACTATCTTTTGATCACCAAAATAAAGATAAATTTGATCATAAAATGTATAAATACGAAATGGAAGATAGAGAATTAGTCTTGGTGAGTCATAGATGACGCATTCATAGCAGATGATACTTTTATATTAATTCTTTTCTCTCAACAAGAGTCAGCTTTCGTCATGAACATGAAAATTTAGATAAATACGCGTAAAGATAGATCGACGTCTACTCTTACATAAATGACATGATTTTTTATTTGGCATTTCATTTTTTCCAAAAACTTTCGCCATTTTCTGCTTGAAACAGTTTTTTTGCATTTTTCTCTGTTTGTGTTTTTTGATGGTTCATCTTAGAATTCTCGAAGAAGCGTCATTGTAGCTAATTAATTTTCTTTTTTGCTTGAAATATAATATCAAGATGTAAGATATGGCAGAGTCTGTTTTATTGAATTAAACTTTTTTACTATTATACAATTAGAACGCTATTATTTTTGAGAAATTGAACTTTTATGTTCTTAAAAAAGTAAGAACTTAAAAATAAGGTCTCTATTATGCCCTCTATCCTGGCATGCTTTTTTGAACAAAAACGATATTAAGCCTGTAGAATGAAGATCGATAGTGAATTTCGGGTTGCTAATTGTGTTATTTATTCCCATTGTTTATTGAATGTCTCTCGAACACATCATGGTATAGGGCTGCAAGTTTTATCGTAGTCTCTCGACAACACACAAGACATATCGTGGAAATTTCATGCGATTGAAATGACCCTGGATCAAGATCGATTATCGAAGGAGTGTAATTCACAACACGTACAAAGAAGAGTGTGAACGTTCTTTTCATCAATGCCATACCAACAATTCGTTTCTAATATTAAGTGGTTTTTTTTTGTTGTCTCATCTATTTTTGTGATAATATGACTGTCATTTCTTAGATTATCTCTTATTCTGTTAATAGAGACAAAGTCAGAAAAAGAATTTGTAGGAGTTGAGGTCAGCTTCCGTTTGGAACTGAAAAAGCAAGTATTTTCTTCGTCTATAATAAAAGATCGCGTCATTTCTAGAGCAAGTTCAAAGTTCTTTTTTTTGGAAAACTGAGCACGCTTCCAACCACTATGTTAATAAAAAATTTGATGATCAAAACTCTTCATATTCATTTTTTTTTTCATGCATACGGAATATATTGAAACTTTATAATTCTCAAAATCCAATCTAGATTCTTCATTTTTCGTTGTTCTTATCGAAAGGCAAGCATCTTTCATCATTAGATAGTTTTTTTTTATCGATTTGTCTGATTTGAATAAAACAAAAAAAGAAAACTTTTTATGCTTGTAGAATAGGTCGCGCATAATTCTTTACTTATACACATGACATAGAGAAGATAGAGAAAGAGACAGAGAAAGAAAAAGGTATAACATACACACAAAAATAGACAACGAGAACAAATGTCGATCTCGGGCACTAAGCTATGTATATATATATATATTTATATTTATATATAATGATATGCGTTCAGGAGAAAAAAAGAAAACAAAACAATAATCGAAAATAAGAGAAAGAATACAAGCGCGTCTTTGTGTTTTTTTTTTTCTTCATCAACAACATTATTTTTCTTTCTGTTGAATAACCCAAAATCACAAATAAACTATGTACAAAAGAGTAAAGAAACAAAAAAAAAAAAAGAGAAAGAACTTTTCTTTTTGTTTTGTACTATCGGACAACATGCCGGTAAAAGAGAAATTCATGACAACCAATTTGAACTACTGTTCCTTGTTCGATCTGGGCAGGTCCATCCCACGCTGAATGATATGATGGTGATGTTAAACAGAAACATTTTTTTAACTTATCATTCTCAAATATTTTCTCATCATCATCATTATTATTATTATTATTATTATTATTATCATCATCATCACTTTCATTGTCAGATAAATTTCCAAGACCATAACGAAGACCATTAACTATTGTACCATATTCACTATAATTTAATAATTCAAATAGATTTCGTTTTCGATCATAATATAAACATGCATGTCGTTCAGTAACATATTGACATGTTTGATGATCATTAAAATTTTTTAAACATATATCATTTGATATTGATGAACCAAACCAAATAACTTGTTTACGTATATAAATAACATGTTTAGAACGTATATGTATAAGAGCTGCATGAGATAAACGAAATTGTGAAAGATCTATTAAAAGTGAGAGAGTATTCATTAATGAAGTTCTATATAAAGAGAAATAAAAAAAAAAAAGAAAACAAATTTTAGGTTTTTAATTTTTTTTTTTTCTTAAAAAAATATATTTACGGTATTTGTTTTGATACTAATGAAGAATTTTCATCATTTAAACATGAATCAGCTGCAGCAAGAAGAACTGCAAGACCATCATTATGAATTTTATTTTTTTCTATTGAATAACTTGGCTCA